ATATATATATATATATATATATATATATATATATATATATATATATACCATTTTTTTCATCGGCAACAGACGCGTTAGACACTTTAGGCTGGACCACTCTTGAACATAAGCTAAATAATCATACCTCACATGGATTTGAACTTCTAGCAAACAGAGAAATACACAACTACAATACGCGATATAAAAACAATTTAAGGCCACCTACAGTGGCAAGGAATTGGAGAAAGCAAAGACTCGCTTATCAGGCCATAACAGACTTAAGGTTTGCAATTTTCAGTCATTTTGGTTTGCAATTTTCAGTCAAATGGGAAATTGATACCCAAATCGGGTGTTCCCGTTTGTAATCTAAAATGACTGAAAATTGCAAACTTCGCAGGGCTATATTATCCGCATTTTACAACATTTCGCAACGAAACTTCGGAATATTACTAATTTTGTGATGCTCTTTCAAGCTGTGATGACATTTTTGTCAAAATTTTAGTTATAAGGTTAACATTGACATGCGTTACACAACTGAGCGAGAGTGCTCTGAATGTAGTCTTATAGGCCGCGTTTACATCATGACGCTACGGCAAATTTAGGCTACACCGTAGCGTAATGATTTGCATTCGGAGTGCCAAACATAGTGGTCCGTAGTTAATACGCTATACGGACCACCATCACTCCGCCATAATGTAAACACAACACTAAAGCCTGGTTCACACGATGAAATAAGCATAAGCACAAGCAGCGGAACCTTTGATGTGCATAAGCATAAACATAAGAAGAACAAATGTTGCGTTCTTCTTATGCTTACGTTTATGCACATCAAAGGTTCCGCTGCTTGTGCTTATGCTTATTTCATTGTGTGAACCAGGCTTAAAGCCCCGTTTACACTACGCTCAATTTTTGGTACGGCACGGATAAAATTGGTACCCGTACCACTTTTTGGTTCTTGGACTACCTATTTAGCTAAGCCCCGTTTACACTACGCTCAATTTTTGGTACCTTATACCACTTTTTGGTTCTTGGACTACCTAAATAGGTGGTCCAAGAACCGAAAAAGTGGTACGGGTACCAATTTTGTCATGCCGTACCAAAACAAAGGGGTGGACGAAATTGATTTGTATTCAGAGTAGCAAAATGTGGTGGCCCGTAGTTAGTGCGCTTAGCGCAGCGCTACGATACGCCGATACGGTTGAAGTGGAAAACTGACTTTAGTCCCCGCCAGGGAGTATAGAGATGTTTATTGTCAGCTCACGCAGAAAAATCACAGATATTGTAATCTCCCTCATTTTATGCACAACACCATGCCAGGCCCGCTTCTGCAATACAGTGTGGATATAATTATCCAGATGCAGACTATTTCACTTCGATTACCAACTGCCCATGACTTGGTCACGACAGCTGTATCACGGCCAACCTATGAAACTCAGTTAACATTGTTTACTTGTGCAATACCGAAACGTTGCACGACACTCTCATTAAACCATAATAATCCCTTCATATGTAGAAATTAAAAATGTGAAATTGTTATAAAGATGAGCAGCCACACAAGCTAAAGATCGTAGTCGTAGTGAAACAAAAATGTGTTTCGAATTACATTTAATCTTTTCTTCTGCATGCTGATAGCCGGTATATTTGTAGATAAAGATTTTCCTCACGCGATTATTAATAACGCGCTATATGGATTATGCATGCTTCCTGAAGTATTTATTGGGTCAAACCGAGTTTATAAACCAAAGGTTCAAAAGTCGGATCGCGGAGCTTTATAGTTTATGTATATGATGCTGATAGATATAGATTATCTAGAGACTATACAAACATATATAGGAAAACAAATACTCGATCATTCCTACCTTTCTTGGTTCGTAGCAAGAAGATTCTGGGCAGCGCTAAATATGTTGTTTTGTAGTCAAGTGAATGGTTAGTCTGGTTACTATTACAGAGTCGTACGGAATCAATCAGTCAATACAATAGTACACAACACGTCAATCAAGTGTTCATTCAACAAGATCTAATATCGCGTGTTCGGTTCTCAATGACTGGGTTGAAAACTTGAAAATCGTCATATAATGATAATCGTTTCAGTGTCTGTCAAACAAATAGTCAAATAATAGACATGTGCTGAGATTTCATCCAGTTTGAGCCGAAATTTTAACTCCCGGGCTGAAACTTGCCAAGTAAACTAATCGTGAAGCAATTTCCGCTGAAAAGTCTCCATATGTAATCAGCCCCTAGTATCCGCCAAAGGAGGGAGGTCGGTTGTACCATCATGCTTTGCAGTGAACTGTATTATCGGCGTCATTATTATCGGTGTCATTTCTAAGCACGGATGCTCAAAAGTCTTGGGCAGATGCCACAAAACCTTTGAATTTCAATAAAGGTCAGTCCTATTCAATGTTGTGTCCCATTTCTCGTCAGATTTGATGTGTTTTGCGAAGCAACATTGGTTGGGGTGGGAGGAGAGGGGAGGGGAGCGGTATTGTGTGTAAGAAACTGTATTGATCCACTTACAATCTAAAATTTCATGTGTCCCAACCGAACTTCTGAAAGTGATTGTAGTATATTCTTGACTTGGCGAAGCTATTGGATTTGTCAATTGGTCATTTGCACTGGGAAACTTCCAGCCACCCTTGGTGCGTCCAATCCCGGACTCACTAGCCTACCCACCCTTAAAACCGCCGACTACGCAGGCTACGGACTCACCGAACCTGCAAGTATGTTTGTTATTAGCCCGCGTGCAGGCCCAAGGGAACTGATAGTGGGCCTGCAAGCAAGGCCCGGTATTTTGTAAAACGCCCCTTTCCATAACACGCCCCATTCGCGCGTCAATTGTCAAAAAAGAACCAATGACAGCACCCGAATATTGACAAACAAACTCGCATTAAAATGTTGCGGGGTTTTCTCTGGTTATTCAGAACATAAACAATGTGTAAATGGCTGCGTTTTAACTCCAAAAAAGCAAGCAACGCAGTCAGTAATTGCCAAATTTGCAAGTGCTCATTTTCAACTAAAATCGTAACAGAAAACCAGTCTCAAACTTCAAGTCATGAGGGAAGTCGTGCGACCACATTAGCATTCGCTGTCGCCATTGTTATAAATAAATTGTTTCACTTATCAGATCGTGTGTGCAATTCTTGTTGGCGGCGGAAAGTACGAAATTTATTTCAGTTATTTCATTTGGTAAAGAACTCTACAAAAGAAGAGAGCGTTCAGAGTCCAGATCGTTTCGTTTCAAGCGGCAATTTAATACCGTCTTCTGTTTCGCTCTCTCAGCGAAGCCTTGTAAATCGCAAAGTGTTTCGAAGTAGGCTTACATGCAACTGCATCTCAACATCAACCAAAAGATAATTTTCTTGAGGAACATATAACGTATCAAGTCTGTTTGAAATTAAGTGAAACTCAAGTAAAGGTTACTATAGTTTACCCAGGGGCGTAAATGTGGGGGGGTGTGGGGGGGGGGTGGTTCACCCCCCCAGAGAAATGATCCAGTCGGTCTCAAACTACGTGCAGTCGGTCTCAAAATTATGCGTTTGTTTACACGCAGTGCTTTGTGAAGCAATTTCGAAACTCGAGATAGACGGCTCAAACTATTGAGTATTGAGTTGGAAATTGGCTCAAACGGATCAAGCAGCTCGGAAATAATATGAAGAAATATTACGTACTTATTTCGCGAGTTTATGAACGAATTATCAGTCAAAACACGCGCAAAGGGATGAAGTTTCCAAACATGGAGATATCCACTTTACGATTACGTGTTGGCACTTTTATTTGGAATTTAGGTTCTGCAACGTCATTCACGGGTGATATTCTATATTAGCGAAAATTTCAAACCCCCAAAATCAGACTCCAAAATGCGATGAATCTCGATCAAAATAGCTAACATTAGTTACAATATTTCTCCGGTCCCTAAACTATATTTTTAAGATGCAAAGTGCAAAAACGAATTTCTAGCCGAGTTATATTAGGAAGTATGTTCACATGTAACACAATATGCATATGAATTTTGTTACCAAAGAGTTTTTTGTGCCTACTGCAATCAAGAAATTCAATCAATGAACGACGCACTTGTTTATCTGAAGTAACGGAGCGAAAAATTGTTTCCACTGACTAAGCGATGTTTCCAATTGTTGCTTACAGTCAGGCCCATAACTAGGTATATGAGTCAATCGAGTTAAAGTTCAATGACAGACTGTAGTTCTCTCCATGTAAAGAAGCATTATTCTTGCCCTACAGTGACGTAAGAAATGAGAGGCTGTGTGGGTGCACAAGTACCCCAATAACAAAAGTGCGGTCCAGCGCGCAAATATTACAACAATTGAGCACAAACGCTTTTTTATTATGCACCTGATCAATTATGTTCGACCAAAAATATTTGTAATTCTTATCCTCAGGATTGGGGGCAAACTACAGTATAAAGTTATAGTCATTGTGTCACTATAATATGAAATTGATTTTTCGTTTGAACTGCTCCCAGAATGCAGGAAATAGCGTTTCTAAGCATTAGAAAATCAAAAATTTTCTGGGGGAGCATGCCCCCAGACACCCCCAGAAGTGTCTCGGTCAATCAAAAATCCTATAGTTACGCGCCTGACAGTTCTGCATCAGGCGAGCGCAGCTTTTCAATGAAAACTGTTATGTGTTCAGTAATGAACCAGGAACGCCTTGGTGAACTCTTGACTCTTGCGTGTGAGCGCGATCTAACAGACACGATCGATCTTCAGACGAAATCGCTAATCCGTGGTCAAACCTTACTAAGCGCGGACACTTAATACAAATATAACGTTTCACAGCAAACTGTACGTGTTCTTGCAAATTCCTAATAAATGCCATCAATTTCCATGCTTTGTACTCAATTTTATTGCAACACACCAACTCACCAAGAGTCGGTCTGGATTCACATTTCAGTGGTGGGTCGGTCTCATTTCGTGGCTACACCCTCCCAGTCAAAATCGATATGTCCGCCCCTGAGTTTACCCCAGTCGTATTAAATGTTGCTATTCCAACACCTCCCGACAAGCAAT